ACTTGTAGGAGTTATTCCCGCCACCTCATATTCCATATTCTATGTCTAGATTTATCCAATGTGATTGGATATAACCAAAACAAAATGGGAAAACCATGCATACGTCTTCTACTGTCAATTCTTATACGGCTGCCACGCATAAACATAGACACTTTTGTGAATGAACACCTGGACCGCAACCATGCCTTAGTATTGTTAATTTATTTGTATAAATACTCTTACGCGCATTCTCTGCAACTTTTCATCTATCAATTTCTTAAAAGAATCTTGTAAGCTACTTTGTTTTAAGTTTTGTAGGAGCCAGATTTTGTACATAATGTCATATAGATAAGTACAACATTTTCGTCTCTCTCTGTCTGCGTATATATATTAACCAAATTATCTAGTTCTTATATATAAATGAATAGGCTTAATGATCTTCTGAAAATATTATTATATGTGTAAATTCTGTTAAATTTAAGTACTTAATTAAAAAAAAAAACAGATTCTAAAGAGTAATATAAAAGTTATTAATTAGTTTCCTTTAATTATACGGGAACAAAAGAGGAACAAAAGTTTGTGAATTCATGTATTACAAAAAAAAAAAAGTTTGTGAATTCCGAAAAGCAAATATATATAAAGCAAATTCGGGACCACAATGCTTTCAAAATATTGTCTTTTGCCCTGTTATTTTAGGAGTTAGAGATATTCTCCTCCTCAAGTTTATCAAACCTTCGTTATAGATTATATTTAAAGTTAAAAGAAAGATAGTGATATAAATTAAGGGAAAAGTATTTCACCGGTTACCCGGACATAAAATTATCTTTAATGAGCTCAAAACGATATCATTTTAAGATTATAAGATTAAAAAATTATAATGATAAAGACTATATAATCCTGCAATATATTATAATTATAAAAATATCTTGATTTTTGCTTCAAAATAATGCCGTTTTAGGTTCACTGGAGATAATTTATCTTCATTGACCGGAGATATCATTTACCCATAAATTAATCTCCGTTTTTATTATTCGCATAAATTTTTTTTAACGGGGTCTTTATATATCGATCAATTACTTTATTAACTTGCTTAAATTAATTCGAATTTTAAATGCTTCTTCCATTATAAAATTTTCTGGTTCAGTGTTAAGAGTTTTGCAGACAAATGAGGTTCCATCAAATGTCAAAAGAAAAACTGGAGCTAAATCGATTCGCGGATCTTGTAATTAATCGGTTCTATTTTCCAACCTAACTTTCTTTGACGAGCCTAAATAATTTGAGAGAACCATTTGGAATGTTCTTCTGCCTTCATGTTTTGTTTTTTCTCCTTCCCTCGTGTGATTGATTTCAAGGATCACATATATATATATATATATATATAGGATATGATTCGCTTATAATTTTTTTTTACAATTTACACTAAGTACGACCGGTCGTACGCATGATTAAAGTATGACCGGTCGTACTTAGTATAGTTTGTAAGAGTTTATAAACAAAAAAGTTTATAAATATAACATGTCCATATATATATATGTATATATATATATATCGAAAATTGTTTTCTTATGCTACATGAGAGTATTCTCTCCCACTCTCCTCACATCGAAAACTGAGCCCCAACTTTTTTTTTTTTTATAAAAAAAAATTGTTGGCCCAGTTTGTTTTGTCTCAGCATAAGATAAGATTTGTCACATGTTGCATAAGAAAACTAATGCCTTATATATATATATATATATATATATATATATATATATATAGGGAAAATATTTTCTTATGTTGATGAAGAAAGCATTTCTCATGTCACTCATACATCGATATGTGTGTATTGTTTTTTTATTTTTATTTTAATTTCTTAATGGTGGGACCTACCTTAAACATGTGTGTGTAAAAGAATTCATTTTCTCATGTGAAAGGAGAAAAACAAAGCCTATATATATATATATATATATATATATATATATATATATATATATATATATAACTAAACATAAATTGATAAAGGCAAACCACAGGGAAACGGAAATGTTGAATCCAGACTGTTCTACTTTTGAGAGGAAACAACCACCCTTGATTTTTTGTTTTTATTTGTAATTGGTATATTTTTATAAAGACAATTATAAAAATATCATTTTATTCTATATAATTTTTTAAAATAAAAAAAAAATCATTTTATAAAAAAGATAACACCAAAATATGTACTTAATAAAGGAATGTAAAAAAAAAAACCATTCATATTAAAGTTTTGGAAAGTTATTTAATATTAATAAGAATTATATGATCTCCATTTTTTTAATAATCTGAATTTATGCTCAGTGTTGTGTATTCAAGTTGTTTTTACTTATGTAGCTTTATCTTCGCCTGTTTACTTTAGTTGTGAATATAATCGTTACGAGGAATTGTAACAAAATATAATTTTCGTGATGTTTGTGTCGGTCATGATTTTTTATTTATTTAGTTATAATTTTAAAATAATAAATCAAAATGAATTATTACTTTAGTCATCTCAATTATACGACAAAATGTCAGAAAGAAGAAAACAATACCACGAGAGGAAAAACTTCATTTGGTACGATTGCTGTCAGCCACTAATTTCCCCCCCTTTTAAATAATCTTTTTTGTTTTTGGTTCAATGTGGAAATTGAGTAGAAAAAGATAATGATGGTTTTTGTCAAAATATTAGGTTATGAAAGAAAAGACAAAGAAAAATAGTGCTTTAAAAAGGGATATGTACACTTTCCCAAACAAGGAATGATGCGTTCACTGATTCTAAGATTCCACTATGGCTAGCGCACATATGGGAAATATGAGCGTCTGCTTATACAAAATAAGAATGAAATTCGTATAGCCTGTGATAGCCTATCAAATCTAATTTTGGGTCAACACCATCTAATTCAAAAAACATAATCATCTTGAAAATTGCTTAATCAATACTCTCGGTGCTTTCTTATTGTCCTTTTTAATTAACTTAAACAAAGTCAATTCTCAAGATGCCCCTTTTCATTTAAATTTTTCAGCCTTATGAAACTGACAAAATATCTTATATCAATTGGGTCTCATTCTTTGCATGCTCTCTGTTACTGGAAGATTATTATTGCATTTATTACTGTTCCAACATTCTATATATGCAAAACTGAACCAATATGACAATAGTTCTGTCAAAGGAAAGAAAACAACGTGCAGCCCTCTCAATTTGAAGGGTAAACTTGTCAAAAAGGACTCTATGTGGGGTGCACCAATCACCATACATGGCTGATAATAGCATGTGGCTATTATTACCCCCCTCCCACAAAAAAAAGTATGTGCTAAGTATTAGACATTAGTAGCCCCATTTTAATAATTTGGAGTAATAGATAAATTATTTTCAATGTATATCTTGTATCATTAAATTGATGATATAGGACGCATAGTTAATGAGGTCTCTAAGATTAGGAGGTGTAATATTTTTGCACAGGAAGAAATTTCTTCCTCCGAGAGTATGAGTTCTTTATTCCCCCAAAGAATTGCTTATCATTTAATGACATTTAAATTTAGATAACGTTGTTAATACAATTATTTTTACTTGTAAACTTAGTTTAATAAAATTTTGATGAGTCAACTTTCATATAAATATATTATGTATGGGCCCTCCTATCATTACTGTATGAATATATTAAATTTTTTTTTTAAGTTTCACTACTTTTTTAATCATAAGGCATATGCTTATTTTATTTTATTGCATTTTAGAAACAAATTAAACGCTTTTTACTATATTTTTAGTTGTGCAATTATATTACTGTTTAAATCAAGATTTATAGAACAAAATACCACTCATCCATTTTAAAGTTCCTTGGAAACATAATAACAATTTTGTAATAGGAAAAAAGAATTTTGTGCAATAGTTTTTTATTTTTATTTTTATTGATAGGTGGAACCCATTATATTTTGTGTATATAATAGAAAAAATAATTCTCCTACAACATTAAAAAAAAAAAAATTCTTTGTAACATTAGATTGTGGGGGACAAGAAAATTTATAGGTGATTCGATATGAGAAAACAAGAGTATTTCTACCTATATAATTTTTTTAATAACAAAAGTTAGTTCTATTTCTTAGTTGCCAACTTTTACCAGTCCAAATAACAAACAAAGCAACCAAATTATATCAAAAAATGGTTTTAAAAAAAAAAACTTGATTGTATATATACTCATAACATCCATACCATAAAATTCAAAATTTTAAGACAAAACGAAAGAAATTGATAAAGATAACAATTGCAAATACACAATACAGCTCATGTTTAAGTTTATCTTTTTTTTTTTTGGTAAGCAAGTTTCGGTTTATCTTTATCTTCTTTTGTTTCCTCCTTTAGTTTGAATTAATCACAAATACCAGTTACTTAATCATCTTTATTTCCTTTAATGAAAATGTTAGTAACACATATTCTTCGATATTTTTAATATCATTTTATTATGAAATTAAATTTCATACTAATTTTAGGTAAACATAATTTTAATTAGGGATTCGCTTTTTCTTTTTCTGCAGTTAATGTAGATAGGTTATCTGCAGTAACTTCAATACGACGTTGTTTCGCGTAGAAATTATGATATTTTTATAATTTTAATTTATTTCAGGATTATTATAGTCTTTATAATTATAATTTTTTAATATTTTAATCCCAAAATAATATTATTTTGGGACTAAAGGCAAATAATTTATTTGCAATAAGTGTAGAAATATTTTTGTGTTTAATTATTAATAAGAATACACTAAAACTTTAATAAAACATTGTGTCATTAATTTCCTTCTTCTTTTGATTAAAAAAATATTGGAACTTCTGTGGGTTATGAAAGAAAATCCTTGTTGTTATAGTCCCTTTTGTACGCCTTGTAGTTGTAGATTTCAGAGCACCGTGCCACACTATTGATCTCGCTGTGGAGAAGATCATGCTCTTATCAGTGACACTCATATCCCAAAAGCATAGGCAAAGGCAAAACCTCTTACCAACCCCACCACCCACTCTAAATCTCTCTCTCTCTCTCTCGCTTTCTCTAAAAACACACGCAAACTGTTCAGTTTGAAGTCTTCAAATTTTGATTCCAAGTTTAAGAGCATTCGTGGCTTTTCGTGTTTGCTCCCAACCAGTTTCCGTTGATGGTTGTTCAACTGCTCTGTGCACCAATAGGCTCCTCAAATATACTTGTACATAACCTCTCTCTTTTTTCTTTTTTTTCCCTCTTCATATTAATAAAATAATATAATGAAACTGATATTTCGTGTGCATCTTCCTATCTCATTCTTTAAAGAAACTCTATGCAAGCTGGGGAGGTTGTTTTCTCAACGTTGAATACTAATATTTTACTGAGAATAATGGATTCCTTCTATTTGTTTAAAGCCCCATCGTGGATCTGGATAGTTATTCCATAGATAGAAAATTAATAATAAAAAAAAAATTAATTAAATTAAGAGTCACAGTTTTTTTTTCCTTTTTTTAAAAGAATTAAATTCTGTCAAACACAAATTATATATAGTATATACATATCTTAATTTCTTTATATCTCACTGTTTTCTTTTTTCTCAACTGGGGAAGTAGTTTCAGCCTTTCAGCAATTGGGTGATCATCAAAGCCATTGATTTCAGTTTAAAAAAATGGTTCTTTGAAACTTGTCAGTGCGCATGTCATGGATCTGGAAGGTGGAACTCGTGTAAACTCCGTTAAGGTGAGAGTTGGGCATGCTAGTAAACGTGCAAAGTTTCAATTTTTCCTTCACGGGTAGATTCTATTTTCGATTTGAACAACGTTGTTGGTGTTGGCTCCGAATGTGGTCTTCTTTGTTTTGTTTTATGTTTAATTTTTTTGTTTTTGTTTTTGGGTTTGCAGAAAGAATCATGGAAAACAATTCTGACTCTAGCATATCAGAGCCTTGGAGTTGTGTATGGAGATTTGAGCATTTCACCGTTATACGTGTTCAGGAGCACATTTGCTGAAGATATTAGGCACACAGACACCAACGAAGAGATTTATGGAGTCTTGTCTTTGGTGTTCTGGACTTTCACGCTGGTCCCTTTGGTTAAATATGTGTTCATAGTGCTCAAAGCTGATGATAATGGCGAAGGAGGCACTTTTGCTTTGTACTCTTTGCTGTGTCGCCATGCCCGAGTTTGTTCTTTGCCCAATTGCCAATTAGCGGATGAGGAACTCTCTGAGTACAAGAAGGATAGCTATGGTGTGGCACCTAAGAGAGGCTTTGCCTCCAGGCTCAAGTCCATGCTTGAGAAGCACAAGGTTCTGCAGAGGATTTTGCTTGTTCTGGCTTTGATTGGGACTTGCATGGTGATTGGTGATGGTGTCCTCACACCGGCTATTTCTGGTGATTATGTTATAACAAATCATTTTTTATTGGGTTGAAATAGGAACTTTTGAGCTTTAGGGTGGGTGAAGTCACTATGTTTTTTTGAATGAATGCAGTTTTCTCCGCTGTGTCTGGAATTGAGCTTTCAATGTCCAAAGAGCACCACACCTGTAAGTTCATTTTGATTTTCTATGGCTGATTATTAGTTCGTTTATAATTTATTTTTATTTTTTTGCTTATTGATCAAAACAAGATTCCTATTGACCTGAATATGTATTATTTCAATTTTTCTGTTTATTTTTTAACAAAAAAAGCTCTCTTTTTTTTTTTCCTCCAATAACTTTCCTTTTATTACATTACTTTTTACAAGTCCAATAATTACATCAGTAGTACTGTAATCCTTCACAGAGAGCGCTTTAGGCAATGACTTGAACAACTAGTTTGAGTGGACCATGAAATGATGAGTTGTAACTTCTAATAAATGCCCTGGTAACTTTGGGAGTTTTTATACTGGTCTCTTTCAATTCTAGCATTAATTGAAACTTTGAGTTATATGTCTAAACATAAATTTTCATTTCAACAGAGGTTTTTAGGCTATTAAGATCAATTCTGCATTAGCAGTTTAATTATGCTGCAATAACGTGCTATATTGGTGCAATAGTGAGAAACAATTCTGTCAATATGAGAGGGGGAGAGATTAATTATCAGATTTTGTTTAAATTATGAGTGGATAGAACTATATAATTGACCTTTTTTATGTGGTTTTGGTAATTCAGCATCGTATGATTTTTATATGATAAGGGGAAATAACTTTTGTCATATAGCTATTATCAAGACTCCCATAGGACTACTGTAAACTTGCACATTCATTACAACTTTTCTTATTTTTTGACAAATTAGAATTATTTATTGAGTAATGATCTTTATGATAAAGGATTAAAAAAGTAAAGACAGAGAAAAGTAGTTGCTGTTCCCTTATACGCCTCTGAGTTGCCTTAATGATTGTTTGTCCATTGTATATCTTATTTGCTTTTATTTTCCCTAAGAATTTTGATACCACTCTTTCCTTCATCTGAGACATGTGGCACATTCCTCACTGATAGTACTTACTTTTGAAACTTGATACTTGGCAGATGTAGAAGTTCCAGCTGCATGCATCATATTGATAGGCTTGTTTGCCCTTCAACATTATGGCACACACAGGGTTGGCTTCTTGTTTGCTCCTATAGTTATGGCATGGCTTTTCTGCATCAGTGCCATTGGGATATATAATATATTTCATTGGAATCCTCATGTATACCAAGCACTCTCTCCATATTATGTTTTCAAATTTTTAAGTAAAACTCAGAGAGGAGGTTGGATGGCCCTTGGTGGAATTTTGCTGTGCATAACAGGTCTGTATGTTTGTTTGATGGTCAACTTAGATTTTATACCTATATTCTCACAGTTTCTATTGCACTTTTATAGGATCAGAAGCCATGTTTGCTGATCTTGGGCATTTTTCACAATTGTCAATCAAGGTATGTGATGTATATCCCTGCACGAAAACTGTAATATAAATTTGGTTTCCTATTATATAAGGATAAGCGGATCTACCTAATATTAGATACAGCAAACACGGTACGGTAGTATAACTTGTATTGTGACATCTTGAAATTTCACACCAGTTGGATTTGTTATCTTGACTGGTGCATGATTGATGCTTTTAAACTTGGTTATGTTCATATTGGTTTTAGACTTTTATTCATGGGTTCGCTTTTTCTGCCGTTACTGCAGATAAGTTATCTGCAGTAAGCTCAATACGACGTCGTTTTGAGGCGGAAATCATGATGTTTTTGTAATTTTAATTTATTTCAGGGTTATAATAGTCTTTATATTTATAATTTTTTAAGATTTCAATATAAAACGACGTCGTTTTGGAAATAAAAGCAGATAACTTATCTGCATTAACTGCAGAAATATTTTTCCCTTTATTCATTTAGTTAAATAGCTTTTGGAAATGCCTATTCAGTTAACATCTCTTCTGCAGATTGCTTTCACTTCTGTGGTTTATCCATCGTTAGTTCTTGCATATATGGGGCAAGCTGCTTATCTTTCTAGACATCATAACATTGAGCACGAGTATCACTTCGGGTTTTACATATCTGTACCAAGTAGGTGGCATAACTTCGTTTTTTTAGGGAGAAAGTAGATGATGGAGGAGTTCTGAGCTAATTCACAGTTTTCATTCTTTTACCTTCCAGAGAAGTTGAGATGGCCTGTTCTGGTGATAGCCATACTTGCTGCAGTTGTGGGAAGCCAAGCCATCATCACTGGAACGTTCTCAATCATCAAGCAATGCTCCGCATTAAGTTGCTTCCCAAGAGTTAAAGTGGTTCACACATCATCCAAAATTCATGGGCAAATATATATCCCCGAGATCAATTGGCTATTGATGATCTTGTGTTTGGCCGTAACCATTGGTTTCAGGGACACAAAGCATCTAGGAAATGCCTCAGGTAAGACAATGATTGCAATTTCCATATATCCATTAATTTTGCAGCAATATAATATGGAACTAGCTTAATCAAGAGGATGCATTTTCCAGACGATGCAATCACAATTTTTCTGAGAAAGAATATACAACACACAGTTAGCATTGCTACTTTCCTAACTAGCATGGCTTTATGTACTTAAGCAGACATTTAGTGCTCTTTCTGCATTGGAATCGTAACTAGGGGGAGGGAGAATCTTAAGAGTTATTAGTACCTGCTTTCTACTGGCAAGAATCTAACATAATATACTCTGCACAACAGGTTTGGCAGTTATCACAGTAATGCTGGTCACCACCTGTTTAATGTCACTAGTTATTGTACTATGCTGGCACCAGAATGTTCTCCTTGCTCTTGGGTTTGTTTTCATATTTGGCACCATTGAGGCTCTCTTCTTCTCCGCGTCTCTTATAAAGTTCCTACAAGGAGCATGGGTTCCAATTGCATTGGCACTTGTATTTCTGATTTTCATGTATGTTTGGCACTATGGCACACTCAAAAAGTATGAATTTGATGTTCAAAACAAGGTTTCCATAGACTGGCTACTTGGCCTAGGTGCCAGCATAGGTATCGTACGAGTGCGCGGGATTGGCCTTATACATACTGAGCTAGTTTCTGGAATTCCAGCAATCTTCTCTCACTTTGTAACCAACCTGCCAGCATTCCACCAGGTCCTAGTTTTTCTCTGCATCAAGCACGTGCCAGTTCCGCATGTCAGACCTGAGGAACGGTTTCTAGTCGGTCGCGTAGGTCCAAGAGATTTCAGACTTTACCGGTGCATAGTGAGATATGGATACCGTGATGTGCACAAAGATGATATGGAGTTTGAGAACGATCTAGTACACAGCATAGCAGAGTTCATAAGAACAGGAAGCACTGGATTAAACTCTTCAAATGATGAGATTGAAAAAGATGACAAAATGGCAGTTGTTGGAACATGTTCTACACATTCCATTTTAATGAGTGAGGATGATGTAGAGTTGGCAGGGACATCATCAGAGCTTAAGGAGATAAAGTCACCCAAGGTGATCAAACAGAAGAAAAGGGTAAGGTTTTTGGTACCAGAGTCTCCAAAGATTGACACAGGTGCAATGGAAGAGTTGGAGGAGGTGATGGAAGCCAAGGAGGCTGGGGTAGCTTACATTATAGGACAGTCATACATGAGAGCCAAACCAGGGTCTAGTATTCTGAAGAAATTAGTTATTAATTTTGTGTATGAATTCCTAAGGAGGAATAGCAGAGGACCCTCCTTTGTACTAGGTGTACCTCATGCATCATCTCTAGAAGTTGGGATGATGTGCCATGTTTAATTTTTTGTTACACAAATGTTAAAGAGTTATCATGTACATATTATCATCTTATATAGATAGTCAAAAAGCCACCACCCATCAAATTGGTGATGGAAAGATAGTGTGCAAATTTTGGTCATTTTCACCCCCACAATATTATCTCATCTCTTTACTCTACGTAATGATGGGGAAAATCTGAGTGAGAGCATGCTATGAGGATGCACTGACGTTGCAGGCTATGAATTAGCTCAATGGGTCGAGTGACACATCAACTAGAACTTCTTGATTGTCATTTTGGTTGTCATTGACATAACTGAGGTGTAGTTTAGATATGTTATTGCACTTTGGCTAGCAACCCTTGGGTCACTCAGTGTTCTCAGGTTAAGTGAATGGAATTTTTAGATCAATATGTGGCTATGTCCAAGAAAGAAAACATCAAATATTGTAGTCTGTAGACATTTATAACGAGCTGAATATGTGATCTAAAATATTCGCTGAAATTTGTTACAAGATTTTTTTTATTTCTTTTTTTAAGTTATTATTTCATTTTGTTGATTTTATATTTCTCTCTTTTATATTTTTCTTAAACTTTTATATATTTTAACCTTTTAGATTTATTATTTTAATTTTTCTATAATTATTTTTCTAAATTTTTAAACAACTGACAATTAAAGTTTGTTAATTTTTAATATAATTAGAAAATATAGATTCTTTTTACAAATCTTAAATAGGGAACAAAAAATACGTTATTAAAATTCCATTAAACATATTTTTTACTTATTTATAAATTTTATTGCTATTTATTTTTATTCTTGCAAGTTTTAATGAAAATAATAATTGGATAATTTTAATTTAATTCATGTATATTTTCTTAATGAGTATTTTAGTTCTACTTATATTAATAGTATTAGTGTGATAAAGTTTTATAAGTATATATAAGATAACAATAAATAGGAATTTACTTAATACATTATGAGATGAATTTTAAGGGGATAAAAGATAACACGTTACGTATTTATAGAAATCAAGAATGTGATCTCAAAACCGTTATATATGGGCTCACTGGTATGGAGGCAGCCAACTTAACCTCATAATAAGGTGGATGTACATGGCAATATAGGGAAGAGTGTATATATTGTGGTAGAGTCTATAGCCTTATAATGGGGCTAAGGGAATGGACCTTGGATTGGACATAAAACCCTCGTCCAAAACAATGTTAAAATAAATATAATAACCCACATGTATATAAAATTAAAAAGTGCATCTAAATATAATTATAAATTAAATTAAATTATATAATTAGTACGTTTTAAATATAAATATATCTTATATACTTTATAAGATTACAAGTATATTTAGATTACTTTATTTCTCATTAAAAAAATTAACCAAATGTTCTCCTTTAAATATTTTGATTATGGATTTTTTCTTAAACTTAAAAGTTAAAACTACTAGGCCAATAAATACTAAAAATTTGTTAAGTAAATAAAAAAATCGTTACTATGAATAGCTGTCCAATACAAAGTAACCTAGTCTAATATTTTAAAGGAAACTCATTTTTTGACCAGTTTGATGATGAGTCGCTTTCTCCTTTATTTTCAGTTTTGTGTTCACATTACAAAAATTTAAAAACCTTTCCTTCTTTGACAAATCAGTGAATAAAAAATATAAAAGAAAATTGAATTTTCAATTTAAATCAAACTTATTTCTCAACAAAAACATTTTATATAAATTTGACTCAAACCAATTCAAATTTAAACTTTAAATTTTAATATCTGTTTAAAAAGGATTTTGAGCGTCTAATTTAAAAACAAAATATTTATTGTTTTCCGAACGCTTGGTTTGTATTTTTAAAATTTAAATTCTAAATTTGACTCAAACAAAAACTAACTAATTTAAACTTTAAATTTTAATATCTGTTTAAAAAGGATAAAAAGGATTTCGAGCGTCTAATTTAAAAACAAAAAATTTACTGTTTTTTGAACGCTTGGTTTGTATTTTTAAAATTTAAATTCTAAATTTGACTCAAACAAAAACTAACAAATTTAAACTTTAAATTTTAATATCTGTTTAAATAGGATAAAAAGGATTTCGAGCGTCTAATTTAAAAACAAAATATTTACTGTTTTTTGAACGCTTGGTTTGTATTTTTAAAATTTATATTCTAAATTTGACTCAAACAAAAACTAACTAATTGAAACTTTAAATTTTAATATCTGTTTAAAAAAGATATAAAGGATTTCGAGCGTCTAGTTTAAAACAAAATATTTACTGCTTTTTAAATGCTTGGTTTGTATTTTTAAAATTTAAATTCTAAATTTGATTTAAACAAAAACTAACAAATTTAAACTTTAAATTTTAATATCTGTTTAAAAAAGATAAAAAGGATTTCGAGCGTCTAATTTAAAAACAAAAAATTTACTGTTTTTTGAACGCTTGGTTTGTATTTTTAAAATTTAAATTATAAATTTGACTCAAACAAAATTAACTAATTTAAACTTTAAATTTTAAATTTGATTTTTGAATTCTGAATAGTGGCAGACAACTCCTTTAATATTGAGCTACTTTCTGCATTGAATTTGTTAAAGAATTTAAAAAAATACATCTGCTTTTGTGCTTTCTATACAAATGCTTGGGGACGATTTTGTTGCTTTTGTTTATTTTTTCTTTTGTTGTTGCTGTCAAATATCAGTTGTTTGTGCATTGCTGCCTCAACGAAATCGCTTCTTTTTTCTCTCTTTTTTCGTCTTACCAAAAATATGTTTTCAAAATATGATTTTCTGAAGGATGTCAATCCTGCCAAGGAGTACTGGAGGATTAAGGTGAAGGTGATTCGGGCTTGGAAAGTTCCTAACTTTCAACGTATAGATTTTGACGACAATGTTGAAATGGTTTTGTTGGATGAACCATTTCAACATTGTCGTCAAAATCTTTACGTTGAAAGTTAGGAACTTTCCAAACCCGAACCACCTTCACCTTAATCCTCCAGTCCTCCTTGGCAGGATTGACATCCTTCAGAAAATCATATTTTTAAAATATATTTTTGATAAGACGAAAAAAGAAAGAAGCAAGAAGCGATTTCGTTGAGGAAGCAATGCGCAAACAACTGATATTTGGCAGCAACAACAAAAGAAAAAATAAACAAAAGTAACAAAATCGCCCCCAAGCGTTTGTATAGAAAACACAGAAGCAAATGTATTTCTTAAATTCTTTAACAAATCAAATTCAATGCAGAAAGTAGCTCAACATTAAAGGAGTTGCCTGCCACCATTCAGAATTCAAAAATCAAATTTAAAGTTTAAATTAGTTAGTTTTTGTTTGAGCCAAATTTAGAATTTAAATTTTAAAAATACAAACCAAGCGTTCAAAAAACAGTAAATATCTTGTTTTAAATTAGACGCTCGAAATTCTTTTTATCTTTTTAAAAAAGATATTAAACGTTAAAGTTTAAATTTGTTAGTTTTTGTTTGAGTCAAATTTAGAATTTAAATTTTAAAAATACAAACCAAGCGGTCAAAAAACAATAAATTTTTTGTTTTTAAATTAGACGCTCGAAATCCTTTTTATCTTTTTTAAATAGATAATAAAATTTAAAGTTTAAATTAGTTAGTTTTTGTTTGAGTCAAATTTAGAATTTAAATTTTAAAAATACAAACCAAGCGTTCAATGCATTATAATGCGTATTTTTTTATATAAAATGTTAATATTAGGTCTTTCTAAAACAATGTGATATAAGTTGTTAAGAATTATAATTTTATATTTTCTGACAATGATTTATTTTTTCTTGCCGCAATGAGGAAGATAATTTATAGTGAGTCAAATTTAAAGTTTAAATTAGTTAGTTTTTGTTTGAGTCAAATTTAGAATTTAAATTTTAAAAATACAAACCAAACGTTTAAAAAACAATACATTTTTTGTTTTTAAATTAGACACTCGAAATTCTTTTTATCCTTTTTAAAGGGATATTAAAATTATATGAAATATTTTTGTTGAGAAATAAGTTTGATTTAAATTGAAAATTCAATTTTCTTTTATATTTTTTTAATTCACTGATTTACCAAAAAAAGAAAATGTTTTTTAAATTTTTGTAGCGTGAACACAAAGCTGAAAGTGAAGAAGAAAGCGACACGTCAGCAAACTAGCCAAAGAATAAGTTTTGTTTAGAATATTAGTTTGAAACATGCCATCATATATTTCTTTATATTTGAATATTAAAAAATCAAAATAAAAAACAACCAAAAAATATTAACGATCAGAATTAAAAAAAAAATTCACGTGCTGCACATATTCAACAAAATTTTAAACATGATTCAGTTGACGAAACACGGGATCTGAGCAAAAAATATTTACTTGATTCAATTAGAAATCATCATGCTTCAAAATCTTTTGCAACTTAACAAAAAGTCATGCACATTGATGGTTCCGATTAATTTCTGATTAACGAGGAACACAACATATTGCCAACATACATCTTCATATTAAGATTACACAACAGCACCAACAATACTAAAAACAAATTAAGAAACTCAACCAGAAAATAATTAATCAAAAGGGACAAAATATATATATATATATATATATATATATATATATATATATATATATATATATATATATATATATAGAGAGAGAGAGAGAGGTAGGATCCTTTGACACCGATGTCAAATTTTAAATTTGACACCTCATCTGAGAACCGTTAGATTCAAAAAGATCAATGGTGTCACATGCTTACAAATCAGAGTCGTTGATATTTTTTGATCTAACGGCTCTCAGATAAGGTGTCAAACTTCAAATTTGACACCGGTGTCAAATGATCCTACCTCATATATATATATATGGTTTTAACATTTCTGCAGCCGCCGTAGATAGTGTTATCTACAGCTGACACAGAAAAGTGGGCCCACGGCTTTTTCTAAAAAAAAAAAACTCAGGATCTGGTGCCGTATCCTAGGATTCGGACGCGGATCCTTGCTTGCTGTAGGTACAGCAGCTGCAGAAATCATTTTGCCTATATATATATATATATATATATATATATATATATATATATATATATATGGGTTTTATAATTATCATGTTGAAAGAGAAT